CTTATTGTACTGACAAGACATAGTAGAGAACAGAAAGGAGGCAGCACACTGAAAATAGAAAGATTAAGTGAATGTCTTCAAACATGAAACCACAGTTTAATTTCCTCATTTGTCTCTCAGAACGCTGGCAGCCTGGCTTACACTCTTGCAGACAGAAGTTTGGATTCTTTTCTGGAGTAACTGAAGAACTGTAGGGAAAGGATCCACATTTGAGGAGGTGAAGGTTAATCACTGATCAACTAGGTCACCACTGATCAACACACAGTGAAATCATTAATCAAACAGCGCTGCCTATCCACATTGAGCTTCGAATGACCTTTTTAGTGTTTTTTTTTTTAATACTTTATGAAAAGACTATCAAGGATCAAAGTTTGTTTGCAGGTAGTCTCCAACATGAAGTATAAACCAAAACAAAGTCATGGAAAAAATCAGAGAAAATAGAGAATGCACAGAGCAAAAGAGTATTTTAAGTATACCAAAATTTATATCCTCGTAGAAATGAGAAGATTCTGTATCACTGAAATAAGAACAGGATGCTATTTAAAAAAAGAAGAATTAGAGGACACAAAAGATCTCTCATACATTTCTTTTTTTACTTTTTTTGTGATTGCCTTAGAGTTTTCAAAATACATTTACAATTGATCCAAGTCCACTTTTCAATAACACTGCACTACTTTGTGGCTAATGCAAGTACCTTATTAAAAATATTCCTGGGGGAGGGTATAGCTCAGTGGACAGAACATGCTTAGCATGCATGAGGGCCTGGGTTCAATCCCAGTACCTCCATTAAAATAAATAAATCAGAATCTAATTACCTCTCCCCCAAAATAAAAAAAAATTAATATTCGTAATTTCTCTCTCCTGTCCCTTGAATTATTTCACTTACACATAAGCAAGTGTGTTTGTGGGTATGTATGTGTATATATATATATATATATTTGAATACATTCTTGCTATTATTATTTCGAACAAATTTATTTTATATCAGTCTAGAATAAGAAAAATAAAAAGTTTTATTTACCTTTGTGCATTCCTTCTCTAAAGATCTTCCTTTCTTTATACTTCCTTTCTGATTTATATCAATTTCCTTCTCTCTGAAGAACTTCTTTTAACATTTTTTTGCAAGGTGGGATTTTGGGCAACAAAATCTTTGTTTTTGTTTGTCTGAGAAACTCTTTGTTTCTCCTTAAATTTTGAAGGCTAATTTTGCAGGATGTAGAATTCTAGGTTGTTGGGGTTTTTTTCTCTCAACAGTTTAACTAGTCCGCTCCACTCTCTTCTTGCTTACATAGTTTCTGAGAAGTTGGATGTAATTTTTATCTTTGTTCCTCTGTAGGTAAGATGTTGTTTTCCTTTGGCTTCTTTCAAGTATGTTTTTTATGTTTGCTTTTCTGAAATTTGAATATAATATACCTATTTGTAGGTTTTTTTGTTTGGTTTTTTGTTTTGGCATTTATCTTGCCTTACATTCTCTGGGCTTCCTCGATTTGTGGTTTGGTGTCTGATATTAATTTGGGGAAATTCCCAGTCATTATTGCTTCAAGTA